ATGAGAAATAGATATGATTGTTAGATCACTGCCTAACAACTTGACACACTGGGGCAAATCTCCATGTTGCTCTTACTGTACTTCTTAATTCTATAGTGAGATGATTGTAGTCCCTAAAATTTTCTTCAAATTTTCAAGAATGCACTTCTTGTATTTGTTGTTATACGCTTCATAATCGCCATACTGGAATGTAGTAAGGCCACTTTTAATTTCTTGTGATTTTCTTCCAACCTGAGGGATTTGTCGTTTTTCTGGTCAGCGCCGCATTTGTTTGTGTTTACTCTTTCCGTTTATCGTCTGAATTGATCGTTTTAGTGTGATGTCTGGACCGGGAGAACGCTTTCACGTATTAGCACAATTGGATCATCTTCATTCTAAATATACTGGTACAGGACATGCGGACACAACACGTTACGAATGGTTGACCAATCAGTTGAGGGACACTCGAGCTTCTCAGGCAAACACTTTACGACTTTACAACTTTTACCATAGTCTCCCTTATTGATTAACGTTGAAATGCATTATCGCAGATTTTCTTTCGTTGGTGCTATTTTGACAAATAAACTCTCTTTCGCAACCAAGCGCTTGTTTATGTTTTCACTGCCTCGCAAGATTGATTGGCTTCCCCGCCGGTGCCACCCTCTGATCGTTGATCAACTGCAGTTTTGCATCTCTGCAACTTTCGACATCCACCTCTCTTTTATGCCATGGCATCACTCCTCTCCTTCCCATTCGTATATGCTGCTGATTTCAGATGAGCCATCCGGGCATGACGTCATTTATTGCAATAGTTGAGAATGAATCTCGAGCCAGAACACGCTACAATCTCTTGAACCGTATGATCCTACCATGTGGTCCTCCTCCAGAAAAGTCGCCGCTTGATGATTAAATGATCTCTGTCTTTAAGCTTGCACAATGAAGTTTTTTCCACAATATTTCGCAATTCAATAGCATGGTTTAGTCCTTTGTGTCTGGACTCTGATCCTCTGTTCGTTAGAGTAAATACGTTTTTCTTGCTTGAACAGCTTTTTTTCAGAGAAGACATTTAGTCAATTGAACTGTGCATGCTTACTTTGCGAGCTCTTACTAGTTTTCCGTTCAATCCGCCGCGTAGATCCTTGAGAACTGGGATCTTGCATTGCACGTAAGTTCTGCTGCTTTGCAATCTCCTTGTCGTTTCTTTCTGAAATTATTTCGGTACCGATTTTTGAGGATGTAACGAATTGTAGAATAAATGCTGCTCTTATCATTTTCCTTATAATTTGGAAAATTCATCGTACTATGGGTTTACACGTGTAATTTTTTAAGTGCGAATCGCTAAGGTGTTATCGGCTCGTATTGCTCCCATAGGCACTGCACTGATTTTTTAAGTAGATTGATGTGGCATAGCGTCGCTTTACCTCTTTTTGTTGTTTCGTTCATATTTCTGGACGTGATCAAAGGCAATATTGAAAAGAGTTTGGATTCGAATATTTTGAAAAGTCTTTTTTCTTGGCATTTGGTTGTGCAGATCACCAATATTAGCTGCAAACTTTATGGAAAGCAAAAATGTGGGTCCTTAGGACTCATTTTCGACGAACACAGACGAATTCGCGCACTTTCCCATGAGAGCAGTGCCGGGAGGGGCCACACACGACCAGCGCTGAGGGTCATGAGTGAGCTGAAGACCAAAAAGGCGTTTGAGCAAAACGTTGAAAGCAAATTTTTCGCTCCTCACGACACAATATTAAACCAAATTTGAGGATTAAAGTAAGGGGTCCATCATTATGATCTGGCAAATCCAATCGTTAGTGTATTACACCGAATTGTGCATTTTCTGCGTTTTGTTATATGGCTATAACACCAAATCGCAGAACATATTTGTACATTTCAGAAAAATGTCCTCGAGTGCGACTTTCACAAATAAACTTTCCAATGAAAGATCACCGTATCTTTTACAGCATCAGCACAATCCTATCGAATGGTAAGTCTTAAGCTGCAACCACATAACAACAATTTTGATTCATACTAGTTACGTAAGGCTTGAAAAAGGATTTCTAGATATTCATCGTTTCCGGGTTTCCCACTTGGCGGTTTGCTGGCAATGTAGCTTTTCAGCCAATCAGTGCTATCATAGGAGACGTGTTCGGAATTATATTTACTAAACTTTTCGGTTTGAAAGAAAGAAGAAAGGAAGATAGAGAGAAAAGGCATAAAAAGGCTGATGTTGCGAATTCTCAGGTAATTTCCCGCCGCTTTTTCAATCTGTCTGTATTTCGCTCAATTGTTGCGTGAAAGAGTAGATGACTTTGTGATTTTGGAAATGAATTCAGCAGGTTAAAGTTAGGTAGCAATAGACTGAGTGCGTATACGGAACCAACTGAAGTATGAAATGACTAAATCCTGCTTGTTTTTGAAAATTTTTGCCCAATTTTGAGAATCAAAATCAGATTTGAGGAAAATATTCAAAGTTCCCTTTCCCCAGCGTGATTTAACACGCTCACGCCTCATTTTAAGTTTTCTCCACCTCCTGCGAGAAAGTTTCCTTCTAGTATTACTGGTAGACATCTCCCGAACCTTTTGCGGGAAGCCTTCCTTTCACCATCACTGGTAGACATAAGAGTCGGAATTATCGTTTTTAGGAAGTGGTTATGGGTTCTTTCACTAAGAATCATATTCTCACTTATTAAGGTCTTATTAGCAGTATGTACTCATTGAGGGGTTCACAAAGACTTGAAAAAGAATCTAATTGTAATGCTGATCACTATAAACAAAGCTCATTCAATGACCGGTGTAAGCTGGTTAATCAGAACGAGAAGGCTGACTACTTGATTAGAAGCTATAATGGAGAACGTATTAGCGCAAATCTAATGTCATATTACATACGTATGATGCAAAACGGGCGTGGTATCTGTGACAGATCATTAATAATCACCCAGGTATTGTTTAGAGTCCATAATTCATACGAACGTCTAATCCTTTAGTAAGGATTTATCATGATGTTTAGGCAGAATGTGTTGGGATGTGTAATTCCCAAAGTCGTGAAATTTGGAAGGCCATGATGCAGAATTGTACTGTCCCTGACAAATTTTTTGTGAGGGAAATATCTAGTGAAATGTATAACCTTGTGAATCAGTTGGAGCTTTTCAATGGTTTATCACGGTTAAGCTGAATTTGTTACAGGTATCCATGGGGCCCTGAAGCGTTTCAGAAGGCGAAGGATTTAGACCGCCCTATATTTCTTTCTGGTAAATTACGCTTGATTCTTTTTTCAACTCTTTATACTATTCTTCATTGAGATTCTGTGCATTTTTAGTTGGCTACTCTACATGCCATTGGTGCCACGTCATGGAAAAAGAGTCATTTGAGAATAATGAAATTGCTAAGTATCTCAACGATCATTTTATCAGTATCAAGGTAAAATGCTTTGCTTGCTTGCTTGCTTGTAGGCGCTTCAAAAATTTGGTCTTATTCTCTTTATGGCGATAGTAACGTGTCATAATATTAGAAATTGAAGGTGGATCGCGAAGAACGTCCGGATGTTGACAAACTCTACATGTCCTTTATACAGGTATGTTTAGCAGTTGGAATTTATGCTTGTAAATGTTTAGATGGTTTTTAGAAGAGGTTTTTGCTCATTTAGGCAATGTCTGGTAGCGGTGGATGGCCTATGACCGTCTTCCTTACACCACAATTGGATCCAATCACTGGTGGTACATATTTTCCGCCAAAAGATGGCGCTGGAACTATGGGCTTGCCATCAGTGTTGAGACTTGTGAATGAGAATGTAAGTTATAAACGTATTTTTT